TAAAGAAGAATATTAAAAAAGAATCGATTTTTGCTAAAAAAACATAAGTAAAAAAAATTACAGTGTTTTTTTTATAAATTTTTATCTTCTAAATATGATAAAGTTATTAAAAAGTTTGTGGCGTTTGGAGAACACCACGAAAATGAGCAGACATTGAAATTTGGATAAATACACCATGTTCATACTCAATTTTCGAGATGTCTCCCAAATGCTATAAACTTTTTAATAATTTTATCATATCCAGGAGATTAAAATCTATAAAAAAACATTTCTTTTATACCTTTTTTGGGCAAAAATCAACTCTTTTTTAACATCTTTCTTTGGTATGAGATAAATGAGATTGAATATCAGAGTTAAATTCACATAATGATTAAGTAAAGAAACTCTTCCACTTTAGTTCATTGAAATTCTAAGTTTGCTGAAAGGGTAAAAGAACAAGGAAAAAGCAACTTGCTACTTATATGCATCGATTTGAAGCTTACTGAACCAGAAATAAACGTAAATTTCTAGAAAAAATCTGGAGACGGTTTCTCATCTTTTCTTAAAGGCAAGGAAATTGCAACGAGTCGGAAAAGTTAAAAGGAACAGGAAAAGAAGACAGGACAAACGAAAGGAATAGAAGCTGACAGAGGATGCACAGATCGTGTGCAGAAGAAATGTTGGAGTCGGAGGTTAAGAGCTCTTAGAAATCCGAGAGATTGAAATTCGAGGCGTCTTCGTTCGCTCGGACGGTCCTCCTTATTTACGAGACTTTCAATTACACCGATTCGGCCCAGGCACCGTAATGTCTGCCATTTTTCTTCAGTACACGCGTCACGTGACTGCGCCACGGTAATACTATTAAATCAGCCGTCCGCACAATTGCGCTACAATCATTCCTCTACCTGTGATCAACGCTATTTCGCACTATTAAATATCAAAGCAACATCAAGAGGAATTTATTATTAATTATACAATGATAGGTTGATAAATATCACGATCAGGGAGATACATATTAAATATGGCAGAATACATTTGCAATTGCATTAGAGAATTATGAGAATATGATTAATAAATTTCTGTAATCGGAATTTCTAATTAAAGTGATATAAAATTTGATATAAAATTATTAATCGACCTAATTTCGATTGAATATGTTTATCCGTCTCGATCATCATTAATTTAATATTACGCCGCTTCGCACATGAAAATAGTGAAGCTTGTATGTACATTGGCCGTGTTCCGATATACACTTCCAGTACTGAAAATCTATAGTTCACGTACACTATATAGATTTTCAGTACTGGTAGCGTATATTGGAACACGGTCTCTGTCGAGTTCATAATTCGAAACAACACAGAATAGCAAGAAAAATGGATTTCCACAAAGCACAGAAGAGACTTTCTCGTGAGATCTAAGAAACGAGCGAGCTTCTGAAAACATTGTCTGGCGCTTTTGGAACAATGAAGCATGAAACGCTTAACTATGGCGTGACATTTCTCCAACGGCCTTCTTGAAGATCCGTAAAAGAGACGCGCGTTCTTTCGTCTGGAACACAGACACCCACGAAACCTCTCCCCAGCCTCGCCAATACTAACCTCGAAGGATATCTTTTATATATATTTCAAGCGATCGAAAATGTCATCTTTCTTCACGGAGGATACTCTGCCCTTTACTATCTTTTACGAGCAAGCAAAAGGATCCAAATCTCGATTTGAAATAGATTAAAGAAATTGAAGACAGCAAAACCTTTACGTTATGTGCTTGTACAAAAAGGAGGATCATAATATAATAAAATGCCGACATTTAAATATTTATTTAAAGAGAAAAGAACGCATCCATTATATTGCGTATACATTTGATCGATATTAAGAATGCGTTAACAAAATAAATCATCATACAAAAACGGAAATATTGTTGAATTTGTAATTGAGTGTTCTATTTTTTTATACCATATTGTGCATGGAAAGAATGATTTTGTTGAAGTATCTAAAAATTTAGCTAGATACAGATCTGAAAATAGTTTTGTTGGACCATCAAAATAATTACGTAGGAAACTCAAGCATGATGAGCAATGCTGCAAAGTTTTGACATTCTAGCAACCAGTTTGAATATTCTGCATAATTATTTAAATAGTCCAACAAAATAATTTTCAGATTTGTATGTAGCTGAATTTTAAGATATTTCAACAAAATCGTCTTTTCTGTGTCTATGTATATCATTGAATAATTGATATGAACGTTTAGCATAATTAATTATACAATCATAATAAACGTTTTAAATAAAACAATTTACTAATTTCTCTTTATCCCGCGTGCATATAATCGTCTTTAATAGAAAGATATTTTATAGAAATATATTTCGCTTTATTGCGAAAATTATAAACAATATTTGTACGGAAATGAAGTGACTCCTCGTAATGTGTCGAGAAACAGTTTATCTATATTTTCGCGCGTGTATCTACACGATATCATCTACATCGTATTATTCGCACCTTGTTCCCAGATATCTGCATCCAATCGATACAACTAACCTCTGACCTATTATCGCAGCTTGACAGCAAGTTCTTCTTCGTTATGAGATATCGTTTCGCGAGATTTAGATTATGGTGGTCGCAGCAAATTGTTCGATAAAACTTTTTCCGAGACTCATATAAACGTCTAAATGATTAAAAACACTTCGTTCACCAAGTTTTTCACTTTATTCTAAATCATTCTACAAAAATAATGATGCATTTAATTATAATTTGTTAAGCATATATAGATATATGAACGTTATTGTAATTGTACTATAAAATTATCGACTGTAGAAGAACAAATTGTCGCATAATATATTGCACCGAGATAACGACTCTTTTATTTCTTTTCTGACGTCTAACGCGAATAACTAATATTTTTTGTTTAATTTAATAATTTTTTAGAGTATTATTGATTTTCTAAATTTTTAGTTTTGCATAAACGAGTAGGTACAATCTCAAAATAACAATTGAGGCTTTCACTAAAGAGCTTGATGTTTTGAATCACAAAGTAGACCAGGTACTTAGACAGCGGTTATTTCCTTGATTTTATATAAATGATTACAAAATCCCGTGAACCTAATCGCGGGGACACATTGTAGATTGTATAACTCACGCTTAGAATCTTGGTCAGTGGAATAGAACGCGGCAAACATGCACGATCTTGATTACTCTAATTCGTGCAACACTTTACAAGCTCGCTAGGTTTACTTCTATTGTAGGACTATGCGCGCAAGCTGATGTACGATACGTCTCTCGAACATTCTGCTGACTCATATGTGCATTGGTTGTAGGGTCAAGGCTTTTCTTACATCTGTTTTGCTCAATGATATTGAATAATGCACGAATCAAGCACGCACGACATTATTATTAACCCAATTAACAGAAATTATCAAAACCTTTCATCAGACATTTATATTTGAAAATTAATTACTTTTGTTAAGGCGATAAATGATAACTATAAGTGAAATTTTTATACTGGTACATCAATATAATATTTTCAATTATCTCTTTTCAACACTATTTATCTGTTGCACTGCCTTATATCTATGTCGGACGAATAGAAAAGATACAGTAATTACAGATATACTGAGAAAAATGCTCTAGTTGTCTCAATAAGAAGTACAAACAAAACAAATTCTGATCATATGAATCAGATTCCTAATTATCGTAATTGAATTGATTATTTCGCGAAGTTTAATCTAACAAACCAGAATGTTTACCAGAACTACAAGTGTATTTCTAATTGAATTTATCAGAATTTCAATGAATGCAACAAACATACCTCTCATAATACCAATGGCAATGTGCTATTATTTCATAGAACTTAAATTCCTTGATTTACTAAAAAAATGTACCACGCAATGTCTTATCACAAAAATTTTAGAACAAGGAAAATTATTGTCAAAGCAAAACACAGATCATTGCAAGTAAAAGTGAGATTACGTTCACCTATGTATATAATGCATTTCTATCGTCTCTATTGTTTCGACTAAAGCATGCAGCGATTCGTGCGACTCGAAATGACTGTAGATATCGCTAAGATATTGCGTGATCTAACCAAGGTCGTTACCATACGTGGCTTCGTGTGATCCGGGAATGAACACCGCACCAAGTGATTACGGTCTTGGTCAGACCAAGCTGAGCCAAGCAGAAAACGTTTTCGGAGTTGCTCCACTTAGTGGAACCGGAATCGGCTGCTGCGCCGTTGTAGCCATTAGATCGAGCTCTCCTAGGTACTGCGGAACCGTATCAGCTCGCGGACTCAAGAGCCGTTTGTTTGGCTGACCGAGACCATCCGTATCTACTGACCCGTTAAGTCAAGAACAGACTCGCTGTACTTTATGCTCCGAACCTTTGGGCGTATCTACCTCTCATGGTCATGTATGTCATACAGGCTGTTACAATATCTTCTCTCGAACTTGTCTTTCAAATAATGCTAATACTAGTATCTATGTCAGTTCAGGAGTTCGTGACAGCGTCGTAAGATTCAATAGTTGCATAATTTATAACACTATATATTTTGATACCTTTAATTTAACATTCTTGTTTAAAAAAAGTATCCAACCTATTGTTATTAAAATACTTCACTGCAGTTTATAAAATACAGTTATTTATTACAATTGTTATAAGATTACTATTGTGCACTCTTGGACAAGATTTTCACTTTTTTTTGGAATAAGATTCATTCCAAAGGAAAAAAAATCTCACTCGAAAAAATAGTGAAAATCTGCCACTCTTATTCATAAATTCTTCGCTCTTTTTCAATAGTGCAATACTTTAACTCTTTTGGAATGAGATTTTACTCCAAGAAATTTAAAGAGTACAATTTGAAAATTTCTGTTAACGATATTCAAATTACTCTGTTTTATCCCATTGATTAAACCTAAATAAATGCTAAAAACGTAAAAAGATCGCAATTATTTTATACATATAACTAATTTTACGTTGTTATGAGGGTTTTTGTAAGGAAAATGTGAAATATGAAATTCTTGTTCGTTTACAGAACTGCCGGCGGCAGTATGCTGGGCGACGTGAACATCTCTGCGATACTGGATTCCTTCTCCGTCAGTTACGATAAAAGAGTAAGGCCGAACTACGGAGGTGAGTAAAGACTCGATTTTCCCCATCTTACGATATACGAGATCATTCGTGGATTTTATACCATGCGCAAAACTTGTCAGTTCGATATATTCGACGTGTTTATTCGATTAACGTCGATCAATTTTGATTAATTCACGCACGTGAGATAATTTGCGTTGGAACAAGTTTTGCGTTCGGCACGATGCTTTTTCCGTTTCATTGTTTATGATCGTTGCACTATTACGTGAATCTAAAACGTTACCTTGCAACTAACGAAAATGAGGGAGTTAGATGACGAAAGAAACCAAATATTGACACACCGACGAAACCAATTAATTGGCGAACGAACAGAAAACCAGCATATAACTCTCTTTTAATTCCACTTCGTTCGCTGCAAGCGCAGAAAAAAGCTTTTTACGTGTGCTCGGATAAAAAAAGATAAAATGGTACCGTATTCCACTTTAATGCAGTGCTGAGATAAAAGAAACTGAAGAACAGAAGACGGTGGGTAAACGTACGTAGGATTTACATATCTAAAAACATTTAATGCACGAAATCGATACGCGATAAATCAAAACATAAAGCACAAGCTTTCGGATTGCTGTAACAATAGCGCGACATAGCGGCTAAAGCTCCGGCGAAACGCTCCAGGAAATATTTTTGACGTCGCTTATCATCTCCCACGTTTTACCCTACAAAAAACGACGAGCTTTCGAGCATACTACCGCTTCCATAAAACAACTCTGACAGGAACAGCACGGCAGCACGTGTACGCGAATCGCATCCTGTTTCCCGGCAAAGGAGTAATTTGCAGTTTACCACGCGGCTCAACCGCGCGACTACCGAAAAAGAAATACCGATAAAACGATGCGGCAGACAGCGCGTTTCTATCACGGAGATAGGAACGGCACGTGACTCCCTGAAGATAAAAGTGTAAAGCACAAAGCGTTCTCTTTTAAATCTCTTGATCAATCCGTAATAATATACAGCTTGCACGTAATTTATAGATACCGACTTTTGCGTAAACGGTCGTTTCAAATAAATGCCAGACGTTTATCGACTACCAAGCGCGATACGATTTTGCGGTCGAATAAACGCGATGCTTATAAAACACAGGGTTATTAAAGAGCCATTAGTCCAGTTTCGAGTAAGCACGCTCGCCATTCGAGAGTCAGTTAGAGGCAATTAGTGCCTGCCAATGGACGGTCCGTCCCACTTTTAGCTCGATAGGCCCGGCCAAAAAGTCTCCGCACGCGTTTAGGTCGGCTTGGCTCGCGGATCGATCATCGATGTCGAAGCAGCTACGATTATAATTTACGTGTCGACGATTCTACCAAAGTTGCATTTTCGGGGGTGGCCTCGTAGAGGTAGGGCGGGGCTGGAGCGCTTCGATAAAACTCGGATCGATGCTGGGACGCCCCACGGGTTGCCACGGGTTACCGTTAACGGCATCTCCTCTCGGACTACACAGAGACGCAGTATCTCGCCTTCAATTACGATTTTGACTTTGATTACTGTCGCGTCTTAACGCCTCCTTTTGTCCCGGATTCTATTTCAGAACCGCACTCATACTTTCGAATCTCAGTATCGCGATTGCTAACAAAATGTGACACCTCGATTTCATATAGCTGCTCTATTTTTCCTCCGACCAAAAAAGGATTCGGAGTTTAATTGAATCATTTCGGTTCTTCATTTTCGAAGAAGCGCGTTAAAAACGTTCACCGATATTAGTCCAAAATGTATTCTTGTACCCGCAGTTATAATTGCTACTATTACAGGTCAGATATAAAAATCGAAAAAGCGGTTAACTGAATAATTAAAAGTTCGAATTCGTATGCTGAAGGTAGTTAAAATTATGTATTGCAATTATTAATTCTCGTAATAAAATAAAATAAACACAGTATTCAGCACATTATCATTTAATTACATTCTATGCAATTGTTAAACATACAAACCGTTTATTTTATCTGAATATTATTCAATTTATTATTTTACAACTACAATTTCAGCAATACTAAAACAATTAAAAATTTACCAACTGATTTTTAATGCAATAACATGCTTTACTGTTGCAATTGTGATTGAAATCGTAGGATAAAAATATATATTATTAATATATAGTATATTTTTCAAGTTGCATTAGAAAAATGCATTAGTCATGACTCACTTTGCAGTAAACTCGAGCTGACTGACAAGCATAAAAGACGATCATTTCATTTTCCGGCGGGATCAAGTATACAGGTTCCTATCTCGACAGATCACAAAAAATGCACTAAATATATCGTCTAAATTCGAATCGCCGATATCCGCGTCTCTCGCCGTTCCCGCATATCGATACACGGAATCCCCGGAGGGATACGAGTTTCTAACATTTAAAATTTAGATCAGTACGCGGACATTACGGAAACGGACACAAGAATACCGCGGACGGATGGGATAAACCGTGCCGCTGCTCTCTTCGATACGTAGTAACTTCATTGGATATTCCCCGGAGCGCAGCCGGATTTTCAAATGTGAGCTCTACCGTTACTATCCAAGGCCTACGTAAAATGACAAAATACGTGACGAGAAACTTGAAACGTTTGCACTCCATAAACTGACTGTCGTAATGATAAACAAAAACTTTTTTTTCGCATTCGCGTTAAAAAAGAAACTCTATAACGCTAAAACACAACATTGACTCGAATTACAACAAACAAATCAACTAAAACGAAACTTTATATATATCACGTGCTTATATTTATTTTATAAAATATGATATTTAACAGAGTTATCAAATATTTTTCATCAGTTCAAGAGAAAAACTAGTGTAATCTACTTAAAAGTTTCTATTAAAAATAATTTTCCAATCTTAATATATAATTTACTAAATTTAATTCACACAATATAATATTTAATATTATACATAACGCATAATGAAAGAAAACAAATTCATGTATAAAAAATAACATATATTTCATTAAAAAATCATAACCGTAAAAATATTTATAGTTAGCAAATATCAATTTACGCGAGGTTGATAACTGCGATTTTTCGTAGATTCGATCAGATGGCTGATTATTAATTTTTGTTCTTTCGTAGTTACATCATATGTGTTTGAAGTATTTTTAATCATTTTTTTTTTTTTTTTCGGAGGAAGCTCTCTCATGGGCGATCGGTTTGCACGGGTGAAGCATACTGGCGCGTTTCAATTAACTCGATACCACGTCAGCCGTGCGTTTTCCAGCATGTCGCGAGAACGTCATTGTGAAATATGTATCCCATATGGGATGTTCCTCGGCTATAGGGGCTTTAAAAACATCCTAGAAATGGAAATGAAGATATATCGGTCGAGTGGCGCGCGATGGCGTTGGCAGAGCCGTTGTTTACGAGTCAACTTTATCGCGAAAACGCCAACGTGGACACGTATATGCGCCTCGCATTTCCCAACCCTTTCCATCCCTCCCTCGACCTCGCTCCCCCGACAACCGGGTTCTTTCCATCTGCACCTGACTTCCCGCCCTTCTTTCACCCTCTGCCCGAATTTCGTCCATAAACTTTCCTACGGTGAGATACCGCCTGATCGGGCGCGATTACATTTTTCCGCTTCGTCTTTGCGGCCGATCAATTCGACCGGCAGCTTCGATTTCGTGCCTCACATCTGGCACGGACTACTGAAATTTTCACGAACCCTCGTCAGGTCTTTGAATTTAGATTTCGCAAAGATTACGACAGAAATCTGAAATAGCTCGTGTTACGTTGCATGTTGGAAAACGCGAGCGTAAATGATTGTTTATAATTACGTATTTTATTAAATATATCCTAATTGAGAGAACTTCGTTAAATTATTTATTAACTATTTATAACACACGTTTATTAGAAATTAAAAATAATTGCAAAATAACTACGTGAGATGAAGAAAATATATTTTCGAACAATCAAACAATATCAAGCACGTTAAAAAAAGATGGAAAAAAGAAAAAAATATTTGGCGTAAATAATTTTACGACGCTTAATACTAGTTTAACTTTAAATATGATTTATTCGCCTCGATAAATCCGAACGCGTATAATACAAATTATATGCGATACAAAATATATACGATACAAAGTACGTCACAGCGCTGCGTACAGAGAAATTAAGCTTGTCCGCAAAACCGTCCTTGTGTAACATTGATGACAACCGAGCACACGTAAATTAGCGCATAAATTATCAGACATCGTCTAATCGAAAGCGATTACCACTTTCCAGCGATCCATCCAACGTAGCGACCTTACCAACATACCATTTCGCATTCACAGTAAACTCACAGAACGCTACCGAAAAAGAACGAAAAAGAAAGAAAACAAATATATGTGATTCTTGTAATTAACGAACGAATGCCATACAGTCACTCTCACCGTGTAGCTTGGCCGCGGCCGGAAACCAGCGACTCAGTCTTACTAACCTTCGATTTCAGGTCCTCCCGTCGAGGTGGGCGTCACCATGTACGTCTTGAGTATCAGCTCCCTATCCGAAGTGAAAATGGTACTACCTCTAGGTCTTACTCAGTAATTCCGCTGAAAGTTACTCATTACTATCGTTCTCGGCTAAACACAATCCGCCCTTCCACTCCCCGCCCGCCCGTCGGTCTCTTCGGCCAAGCGACCATACATCTTTTAGTGCCCGTGCATTTTCAAGTCAACGATTGCCGCTGATCGTTACTGAACTGCAATTAGCATTTTTTACCCACCGACACACGTGCACAGACACACCTGGGAGACTTAGGGCAGAAGCATAGAATCTTGCGTAACGCATAGCGCGCAATGCATAATGCATAAGAAAATGAACCAATCAAAGTCCTTTATTTCTTTCCTTTCTACAAAATAACAGACTCTGATCAGTTGATTCTCTTATACCTTATGCGTTATGCAAAACTCCGTGCTTCCGCTCTTACACGCGCGGCAACACGAGTGCGGATGTATATCCGGTTCCACACTGTTGTACATACACGCGCACACGATTGTGCATTCTTCCCGCATTCTTTGTTTTCATCACCCTCGCAACGAATGAAACAATTATCGTTTCCAATTATTCAATTACGTAGATTCAGGAGATTTTATCTCATGCAATATGATTATCACTCTATTTGTGTTATGTGTGTTTGCAACTATTAAAACATATTCTGTTATTATTGTCTCTTTCTTCTCGAAACAGCTACTTGAGTATGGCGCGACGGTATTCGGATAAATGATTTATTTCGAAAATCAACAAAGGTAACGAGAGAGCAACGCATGTTGATTCTAATGGTCGACGAATGGTCCAATGTTGATTGCATTAACAATCAACGTTTGCATCTATGCGGGTGCATCTCTCATGCTGTCCGTGTCGCCTCAGTAAATAAATTCATTCATGTCGTTAATCACTAATTGGGGCGATACTTTCAGCGGTAGAATCGGATCTTCAATAAACGACTCATTATTTAATACATTCGCTGAAGCATGAATTATCTTCATTGCCTAACGATATCGTCGCGATTATTTTGTTCCGAACGCGTATATATACACTGTGGAAAATGTCTAGCTGGATTAATTGGAATTCTGGTTGAAAATGGACACATCGAAATTTTTTTATTAAATCTACTAGAATTCTAGTCGCGATAAATGGAAACGATACAATCAGAATCTTCTGATTCGTCCATTTTTAATCAAATATTTTTCTCAGTATAACAATTGATTAATTACAGCCCTACGAGCCTTGTTTTAGTACACTGAAAAAAGAGTCTCGTTATACCTGCCAAATGTTAAGTAAAATAATTTCAACTAAATGTTATATAATTAAATATAATTTTATCTTTACAAGTATTTAGCAAGTATCACTAAACGGTATTACCAATGATAACACTTGTTAAATGTTTGTAAAGGTAAAATTATGTTTGAATATCACACATTTACATATATATTTAAATATTTAGTAGAAATTATTTTGTTCAGCATTTGGTAGCTATAACCAGAATCTTTTTTCAGCGTACAACGAAAGAAATTCGATCTTCGGTGCATCGATTGGAACACGAGAAACTCTCAACGATCCCCGCCAGTCGTCATTACATCAGTACCGTCGTGTGTTCGTTGATTGACACTCCGACGATGAAATGAATTAACTTGCCACGCGCAGAACCGCATTGCTCTGGGCTATGTGTCTCTCCTTTGATGTGCTGTTCATTTAACAACGATGTTTGGAACCGCGAAAACGGGTAACACGATTACCGTAACGATTCTGTGCTCGCTTCGAGGATCTCATCCGCCGATACGAGGCGACATCCAATTTCTTGGCACAGTGATTTCGCGACCAATTGAACTCAAACTATGCAGAAGAAAATTAATCGGTGCTACGCCAACTCTTGTTCTCCAACATTACGAATAGCACATCTCTAAAATGAAAGAAACGTCTAAATATGAGATAAAAATTCCTCTGCTTTTAAATGCTTTTAATCGGATTATTGATCAAGATTTATATTTTTCGATTTGATTTAATGTGAAAGAAATAAAAACATCAAAACACATATTCATTGAAATACAAATTCATGATTTCTAGACACGTGATAAAACGCGAAATTTCTGTCACTTATTAATTATAGGAAATATTACTATTAATCTGTTTAATTTTACGACAGTTTGATGATACTTCAGACTATAATTTATGCTTTCGTTTGGTATCTCATAAAAATGTCTTTGAATGTGACGTTGAAATACACTCGAGAACTAATGATTTGTAGCAAGAAGAAAAATGACAATTGTCATTGTACATATCGGCAATTTTTCCTCTAATAACTTCTTCGCGTGATATTTTTTCTTTCGTTTCAGTCAGACTGGCAAAATTATTTCAATCGTATATCTTGACGCGATTGCATTTCTTAACTTAAAGAATCGATTTGATTAGACTATTGCAATGACTACATTTATTAAACTTAAAGAAATCTTTTTCTTTGTGCAGACACGACAGAAACCGCCATTTGATTAGTATGTAAACATCAATTTAGTAATTTATGTACCTAAGACGCACTTCGCAATGCGCGCTATGGTGATTACGCGATGTGGTTTACCGCTTGCACTTCGAAACTACTGAAATGAAGCTAACCGAGCACAGAATCTCTCCTAACTCATTTGATATATTGTAGTACCATGTGGCCCGTCGCTTATCGCGGTACCGGTTTACACCAACGCAGAAATAAGTGTGCGCGTGTATGACCTAACACGCATTTCTCCCATACACATACATTTCTCCCACACACAGACATACACGTACACTTTAGTAGCGAACAACAGAAAGAAACAAAAATATATACTAAAAAAAATGGACAAAGTACTATTTCATATTTCAGATAATATATACTGGCTGTCCTCGTTCCTCGCTCGAGAAACGGGGCTGTAGTTTCGGCAACTGAAAGCAGCGAGACTGCGTGGCTGAGGTCGCAAATCGAGCTAAATCTCGAGAAAAAAAAAAAGAAACAACCAACCAAACTTGCTCTAAATTATTGCGTGTAGTTTCCGTTTAATGGAAACTAGATTTATTTCGAAAATAATCTCTCAACTAGACGTTCGATTCATATGCGCGAATTGTATTGATGTAAAAAGCCATTAAAATTATTGATACTGACAAAAGAATTTTACAGAACTGTGAACCAACGTTGAGATTAATTTTCTCAGTTGCTCCGACTACGTTTTCGTTTTCTGCGGGCGTGGAAAAGTTAGTTCACTGATTTCCTGCCTGACTTTGAGCCTGGGCTGCCCCGAACGTCACCTAGTGTTAGAGAGAACGTGAATGAGGAGCGTCTTTTTATTGCTTTCTGCTCTCAGAAAAAAATAGTATTTTGTTCAATATATTAAACACGCACGACCGTCCCGTTAGATCGTTTTTAGACGCTCTAGCTGCTATGCCGCGGTTGCTGAAATGGGCTGCCGCCTGCCATCACTTACAATTATTATTATTCTATGTCCCGCCACCCCCGAAAGAAATCCCCGACACTTCCGTTATCTCTCTGTCGAAACACCGCACGTATCACGTGTTCGTGTACGAACACGCGAGAGAGAATAATCCGCGATCGATTTGCTTCGATCGCTATCCGTCCGAATTCCTTCCAGCAGTTCTCTCGGTATTCGAGGCATTTTCCTCACATCCCCCTTAGAAGCTTTAAAAAAAAAGATGAATAGATTTCGCCCGGAATCGACGACCGCAATGACAATGACAGCAATTCAGTGTAAAGTAACGATGTCGTTCGACGAACGTTCGACAAGACGACGCGCCGCTCTCGATCGCGGAGAGGCGTCTAATTATAGGGCGAAAAAACGACAATATAAAACGAGCCATATTTCCCTGGAATACGTACACATATAGCCACAACGAATCTAATTGGAATACGACGTGACGAGTGATCGGAAAAAAACAAGATGCAAAAGTGCACAGAGAACGAAAGAGAGAGCGAAAGGGTGAGAGAACGAGACAAAGTAAAACCACTATAAAGCGACGCGATACAAAACGAAAAAAAAAAAAGTAGTAGTAAGGTAATGTCGTACTGCTACTTGGCTGTGATATGTATGTAATATATACGTAAGAGCATAATGCCTATATAACGAGACAAGTATGGATGATTCTTCTAGCTTGGAAGGCAACGTGGCCAACGACGAGTCCTGTTGATTTGGTTCCGTGCAGGGTGCGAGCTCTCCTCGACTTGTCCGTTCGTGCTTTGCCTCTGGCTCACACGGATAGGTGCGCGTGAATACGATTTCCCTCTCCGCATGAACGGTGTTGTACAATTTATCCGAAGACACGAGAGGGGCAAGAAAAAAAATGCCCGAACGATTCGTTCGCGCGTGTCGAGCATGCTCGCGACGTGGATTTGTATCGGAGCGCATCGCGTTGGTTTTTAGATTCCTCCGATAGACATCGCGCATAACAAAACGCGCCATGACACGCAATACGATGTAGAGACCGTTTCAAAAGTGCTTTAAAGGGTGCCTAAATTTTAACCGCGTGACGTGAAGCGCGCGTGAGTCAGAGGTAAAGATAGATTCGTCATTACTACTATTATTATTACTATTGTCTCTAGATATCTATTTATCTCGTACACGATAGGTCATACACGGTTGAATAGAGATTGGCGGGTAATCACAGCGACCAAGGCCGGATGGTTTTGTTGATTGCAGGTCCGCCCGTGGAGGTCGGCGTCACCATGTATGTCCTCAGCATCAGCTCCGTGTCCGAGGTGTTGATGGTACAGTTTGCATTCAAACTCATACAAACTCGACATCGACAATTGCCCGTTCATTTATTTCGTCCAGTCTCGCAAACGATCACGATTTCCTCCTCTCCCAATCCGCTCGTATCCATCGTATCAAAAAGCGACAACGGGAACGCCCATTTCCGCCCGACACAGCCGCATCGCGATAGTCCACGCTCGATCGTAATGCAAAAATTGTGTCGATACCGCTTTAAAAAGAGTTTTTAACTCTGGCGTTTAATTGGACCGATCATACGTCGAGCGTGTCTATCGTGGAACCGACGACGCCCACCATCATTGATCAAATCAGCTTACCAGTCGCGCCACTTGCTTCCGATTGCGTATAAAGTATCATCTGTTTCGGTTTGTTTATTTGTTACTGCATAACGATGACACGGATATTCATGTAAAAATATCCATGCCAATCGAAATATATCTAGACCGTCGAAATTTCGTTGGCAGATCGTTGTATATGAGTGTAATTCAATAGTAATAAAAATATCATACGTTCGTGGAATTGTACATCGATCGAAAAGTCACAGAATGCGTACGGTTAAAAGAAAAAAAAATATATTTTTTATACGTATTGATTTTGCACGCGTAAAGTCTCATATAAAGTAGCATCGTAAACTAGCAATACCTTGACGTGCATATGTTCACATCTGCTTAAATCTCGAGTCGTTCTCGATATCTGCTCGCGGAAAGGTGCACCAGGGGAAATACATGCGACTCGCATAGCGATGTTTATGTCGGCAGCAAGGGGCGTATCGACACACAGCCACACGATATAAGCTATACATATACATGTACACATCCCATGTATGTACGTTCGTACACGTGGAGATATATACTGGTATACACACAAGCGACAATAGTATACACACACGGATGGCCTACTAACCTACGTTTTTATAGCTCGTCACAGCTGTTTGGTTGGCTGAACTGTTACAAGGGAACCTTGCTACGTTCCACAGTCTTCGCAAGATATATTCTTGTCCACTTCGTTTATGGTTTATGGTTGAGTCGTTTAATGCGATTTGCGATGTTCTTGTTGCATGGCCCTACCCGCGGTGCTCGAACCGACGATAAACCGGTGGTTTCGTTTGTCACGCGCCAAGATCTAACAATAAGTGGAAAAGTTCCAAGAGAGACCCGATGAACGTTGTCGTCGCCAGTGGAATAGTGACGACAAACGCACAACCTTTTAATCCCGCGAGAGAACATTAAATCCTCTTCACGATATCACGTCCATTTCTGCGAACCATTTCTCGTTCGAAAGGATTGTATTTATGTCAAAAATCCGAGCTCGACTTACCATCTTTCCGGAAAATCCACGAGGCGGAAATCCCATCGGGCTTCTCTCTGTAATACAATATAGTATGCGTATTATTGAAAGTCGACTTCCGACTAACAAGGACATATATATAAGAAAAAATGAAGTATATGAAAGTAAAACGGTAATACAATGTGTAATGTCTTATGTTCAATATATGATCAATTGGCAATTAATTGAATTTCGGATCGAGCACCGTAGGCCGCACCGTTGAAACACGTTCGTATACGCGTGATCGTACACTCTTATGCGGCCACATCTGTATATACGAAATACATAAAAGTGTACGTACGCGTATCCTGCGTTATTGGTACACGTATATCTATATATATATATATATATTCGTATTTGTTTCTCAATATTTAAGGTATATAGCGGCACCGTACAACGTATTGTGTATTACGCCTAATCCTGTAGTAATCGAAGATATTTTGTTCCGGTATCGACATTCAGATTCAAATTGGCACGAAACTGGATCCATCCTCTATCAAGCGCATCTCGAAGTACGCGCTCGGATTGTCGCGACTCTTAACCCGTTTCTCTGATAACAGTTATACCAGAAATCAAATCGACAGAGGAATTTCTAGTATTCTGACGCAACTAGTCGATCGTCTAAAATTGCAGTGTACGTATCCATACGATTGAAAATAATTGAAAATAACGCGCGCAGTTCGCGAGCTCGTTTATTGGTGACCGATGCCGCGATTCATTGACTCTCGGTTTAAATTTTTAGAGTCTTCAGTTCATAATGAATTCCAGGGTAGCGGTAACGTTGACTTACCGCAGCCCCCGAAGCATTGATTCTATCCTACGAGTTTGTGGTGGACTCCCTCTCTCTTTCGTGTATATTCCGTGTATATTTAAAACGTAATCGTGCGTGGGGAAACGGAACTCATTCGCCCCAGAGAGATCCAGAGTACGAGTTTGGAGCTGAATGTACGAGGCTGGACCCCAGGTGTTGAGCCCTGTGCGGAAACCAAATCAAGTCGACACTGTCACCTGGGACGTGACGCGCGAGTTTTTACACCCGCTGGCGAATTTCCATTCTACGTATCCCTTTCCCTGTCTTTTGTCTCGTTTCCCTATCTGTTCTCATCGCCAAACGACTTCCAATAGTTCCAATGTCCATCCCTCGAGGGCCACTCTTCGGACTCTCCGGCCAGCATATCTGCGAACAACGAGACTATTTTCCTATCAATTTATCTTCCCTTTCATCGTTCGCCTTCAAAAAAATTGACGAGCATAGGCGGAGAGAATAATACGGTGAAAGCGCCTTTATGCGCGCTCGTTGATTGTAGTCCTCTCGGCCGGATGAGACCAAGAAAAGAAGGATGAAGCGGGAGTGAAAAAAGCAAGAGGATGAGGAGAAAAAGTATCGATAGAAGATACCCCGCGGCCCTCGAAGAACGAGATATTTCTTTTCGCCCTGTACCTCCTCTCCATCCTTGGCCAGCCGATGATTACATACCAAATGAAGAGTATAGCTCGTGCGACGTTGCGACTACATCGAGACTATACTGATACTTATAATTGTATTTGCATATATATCTCGTATATATCTATGCTGTTATATCGTAAATATACTATGACACCTATATGAGCTGTGTCATTGTCAGTGTGTGCAGTGCGCTTCTGGTTGCTATGAATCACGTCACGCTATATATTGTATATATTATGACTTCTCCGAGCGCGAGCGCGTGTTACGTGCACGCGCACGCGTGTCCGCGGTATATGTGTGTATGTGCGCGTGTATGTGTGCGTGTATATACGTGCACACGTGCGTTGGCGCGCACGAAAAGCCTGCGTTTATTGTACTGTGTGTACTTCTCGGTGTGCGTATGTGTGTGCGTAACACATGACCACGGGTCTATGTGCTTGCGCGTACACATCGTGATAATTCGCGCTCGTCGAGGCGCGATAGACTCCGAAATGGAGCGTTCCTCCTCGTACGAGCCCCTCTCGCTTCCATCACTTGTCGTACAACACAACGCTGCGCCGTTTTTTCTATTTTTTTCTATTCTCTCTCTCTCTCTTATCTCTTTTTTTTGGATCGATTGGCCTGCGAGCTTTTGCCTGAAACGCTTCCACAAAGCTTTTCTCTTGTTCTTTGTTTTTTATGCTACGATTTGCGTGTGATAGAGATGCTTGCGCACACCTGCTCGCATTCCTCCCGGAAATGTTTCATCGGCAACGAGACGCGCGTACTCGCTCGAATTGCTCGATTCACACCCAAACACACCGCGCAAGATTTGCGTGCCGTCGAGATAAACGTGAGAAATATTTTCACGTATAGTTGAACAATGAACAGATACTGTTTACACCGAAATATTTCGGTACTTACAAGACATATTAATTTCACTATACTTAACAAATAAATACTTTGCGTTTCTAAATGTAATAACAACTACACATTTTTTCTAATGTTTCCTGTCAAAGGAAAAGAAATCTTATTGATCTCATTTTTCACATCCTTAGCCATTTTTAATGTGTATGAAAAAGTAATTTGCGCTAAACAATACATCGCGATAGCTTGAAAATTGAAAATTATACATGTGAAAAATGGAAAGAAACGAAAAATAGTAACTATAGTAAACCAAAAAAGAATCAGAATTTGGAGACGAATTCTCGTAAATGTGTTCGCGTGGGAGTTGTTGATCAGTTAATCATACACGAAGATTTGTTAGCGCGGCAATTACACGTCACGATGTAACCGCAGTGCGCCTGAAGAGCTGCCAGAAATGCGAACGATGACAACTTCCGTTCCATATGGTATCTCCGAGGAATATTTCAAGGTCTTCCATATTCGCCAAAGCATTTGCGCGCGCGTTTAAACCGTGAGATTAATTACCTATCATACATTTGTACGTTATATTTTGAATTTTCAAATGTTACACGTATTATTAACAATATGATGCAATCGAATCGATAACATAAATTATCTTTCATAGCTATTTGCACAATAAAATCATAATCGTTCGATTCTTTATTTGTGACTTCAATTAAAGCACAATTGATAAAATTTCTAAAATAAATATACGGCGGAATAAGCCGAGAAACGTGCCACGCACATTGAATACTTCATAACGATGTGAATGGCAGGAAAAGTCTTCGCGTATGCGCGCACACGTCGTCGAAGAGGATAACAATGCCTCGCCTCGGGCCGAACTCTCCCACTTATCATGGAACCGTGACATCTTATTAGAGTTGTAAAATTCCGAACTTTATTCCTAAAATTCATTCTTTAACTTTTTAAAATTTTACGCCTGATAAAAACTTCGCTATCTAATTATTATAAAATTGGTTGCCAGCATCGTATTTTGCTGACTATTAGCGAATTCGATTGGACGCACTCAATGCGCATCCGAATTAAAGCCGTCATAAATTGCCATAAAGATGTGTTCAATATAAATAGAAACGAATTAAACCGATTAAACCGTGAAATCCTCAATGCATTTTATTGTGTTTGTCAGGTAAAATATGTATTTTATAATTCGGAATACTTGTATCTCACTTTTACACTCAGATTAAGTCAGTATACAACGGCTTTAATATGCACCAGTGCGCACAAGTGCGTTCAACGAATGAATTCGCTATATATAATTGAGCGGAAAAAGGTGAGCAAACAAAATAAGACAAAAAATGGAAATTTAATTATAATCCCTATAAAAAGTTGAATCTTATTATATACCTTTCGCAATAAACTTAATTCTCTACATTTTTAATTGTGAATTATAAAATTCAAAAGATTCATTTCAAAGGTAGTACAGAGTTTCTGCACTGTTTTATTATCGTCGTTACTCAAATACGTCATGTTCCACGAAAAAAAAGAAGAAATTATCCACACATATAAGTATTAAATTAATATTCATTATTAGAGATTTTTTATAAAGACGATACGCCAAGATAACGCTCGGAAATTTCAAAGGTCCTATACTATCCGCAATACAACACTGTCCTCATACAGCGTGCAGTGCATGAATTTTATGGCAGTTCCGTAGCATGTCTGTACGTAGTGATTTCGTCGTAAAATACCTGTTTTAGATGTATATATACGTAGTCACTATACATACACGGTCTCCACACCTTATCTCGTTCGCGTGTACACACGAATTATACTCGCGTCGCGAAACTCCTGTCCTGTGATCGAACCCACGTCGGCAGGAATCTCGATGCTCACGAGGCGTGCGGGTCACGAGGCGTGCGTATGTTCTCGCGTAAGATTACGAGTCATAATTGTGCCTAGCATCGTAATTATAAACTATTAACTCACTATCGTAACTGTGCGCTTTTACAGGCAGACTCGTATCAGATTCTTAACGTGGCTTGTAATATGAGACTAATTAGAAACAATCGTGTGATAGTAAAACAACTGCGATATTACAGTAATAAATCAAATGAAATAGCATTATCAAAAAGTAATTACAACGTAATGATCAGCATATAGATATATATCCTGAACTAATTAAAAAATAAAATAACGATAAATATTTAATTTGTTAAAAAAATAGCAACTGTGTATATCTATCCATATTATTAATGACGCGAAAAATCATATAATTTTCGTTATATTTTGTACGCTAGACTTAAACTACAGCTTGTTTAAAATCTTCAATCAATTATATAATTTAACAATTATCAAATTTTGTTATAGTTTAATTCAGTAATATAATAAGACAACAAAACCTCGCGATATCAAGCAAGTTTTAAACATGTTCTATTCAGGATTTCTTGCTATAATAGCAAGGCGATTAAGAAACTTCTACTTTGGATAATAAATCTACTCATTTATTTCAGTCAGTCCAGTACTTAAACTTCCTCACCTATACGAATAAAGATTTCAATGAAATCGGCAGTGGAGCAATTTAGAAAACTCGCGACATTCCCAACGAGTTTATATCGGCATAACGTATTATTTGCATTGTATTATAGTGAATTTGGTCACTCGTACTATACTGGATCAGTATACATTAACGGCTGTTTTATGTAAAATAAAATGTAGAGGCATAATATAATCAACTTTGACAATAAAATGATACATGTAAATTCTATTAAATGACATCAAAATAACGTTGCTAGATATTTAATTGTTTAAAATATTTATATTTATGCTTTTTACGTTTAATTTTGCTCATTTCACGTATAACAGCTTTTAGTATGCACTAATCTAATGTAATGCAAGTAACCAAAATAACTATTAAATAACTGTAGAATTGTCTTCAACTCCATATATGGAAATAATTTCTTAATATCTACCGATTATTTCCATTGCAATTATGAAAGCTTAAGATTCATCTCTTTTATTGTAATAGTTTTTGTAGTATCATAAAGGCTAAAGTTTCACATAAATCATCGTCAACTAACTGCGAATAATTATAAAATTTCTAATTTAATTTTTATTTAATTTATATACCTAATTTTTATCTGTTTAAACTAAACTTCTCTTGTCGCGTGTAATATGTTGTTACGTATTGATGTGCAAATTATTTGTTAACGAAATTAAATTTAATAAATAAAAATATTTGTGAGACTTTTGCGTTTAATATAATACCGTAGGGATCTGGTAATGGAATAGCGTGGTCGTCAATCACGGTTTACCCGAAATCACTTTCGTCCGAGTTGTTCTCACACGTCGCTCAAGCCTGAGGATAAACGCTCTTGCGAGTGTGAGACCCAATGATGGAGCGTTCTACAAAGCTCTCGAAGTTACCACAACTTCGGACTTTATAGCCGCGCCGCGCCGAATTAGCCTCGCTTCGTTTCACAGCGTGAGGTCAAGTAGAACACCGGAGGAGGTCTGGATATAGGGTCACGTAAACGTTAAGTGGCCGATTCTTCGTATTACGATAACACGATGAGCCGCCTCGTATAAGTTTTCAAAGATACCTGTCGACGTACGCGATCCCGAACGTGTTTCCTCTCTCTCCCGTACTTAACTCTCCTTGCACGAATATCTCTTCCGAATCCGAAACGACGGCCGCATCGTAAACACGGGCGGCTGAATTATACCACAATTGTTATTTACCTTGCACAATCTTGCGTTCCTTCGCGCAGAAACGCATACGTTTCAATTTTTTCAAATTTTATACGCTCAGACTCATGAGAACAACGAGGACTAACGTAGCATTTCGAATTGGCCTTTATATGCTCTGTTCAAAAAGATATGCAAACATCAAAACGCTTCTTAATATTTCCAATAATTAATTGACAAATTATTCGTTGGAATTAAATTTGACGGTAAGAGAAAAGTGCATTTTATGAGTTATTGATATTTTTACACCATTCTCGAATATCTGTTTTGAAAATGCAAGTAATATTAAATAAGTTTTCAATTATTTTTATGTCCACTTTAAAAAATATGAGTGTAGATTTAACACCATGGCCATATCTATATAATTCTCACTGTGTTGATGTTAATATTAACGCCAACATGGTGTGGATTTAAAACCTCTGATATTTATATTGACACCGTTATGGTGTGATATTAAAATCCATGGTATTAAATCTGCACCACGTTGATTAATATTTAACGCTAACACAGTGAGAATTATACATGATGTTAAATCCATAACCATACTTTTGAGAGTGTATAATATCTATAATGTTATTATATTTATTATTTATTAAATTGTTAAATTTGCTCGTTATTTTCATGTTATTTTTGGAATAATTCAATCAGTGTGGCACAAGAGCGTTCTCTAAAAGAAACCGAGTATATTAAAAATTGAAGTTATATTTTTAAAATGCATTACATTTGCTAAAATGCATTTACTTAGTTACGGCATCCAATCACCATTTTCATTAATTATAGTTTGTCATCATGTTTTTTTTATGAAATTTTCATTAAAAAATATAAATGTAAAAATGACATTGATCAATGGATTGGCCTTCCTAATTTCCGGACGCAAATCCGATTAAAAATATCTGATCAATCATGAAGATGAATATGCTTTGAGAAATACGAATATTTATTTTGAAGTAGTTATTTTTGGCACATTCGAAAGATTTGAAGGTTTTTAAAAACTTTAGCCGAAAATTGTAGAAAGCATGTATGTCATAACTAAGTATTGTAAATGTATTTTCTGTTTCTTTCAGAAAACTGCTAACTACACCCTTGTGTCACTAACCGTACATATTGCATAAAAATGTTTTATTTAAAAGATACGGTTAATAATAGTAACAATAACTCAGCAAATTGCATGTCAGTTTTCGGAGCAACAATCAAAATACAATAAAAAATACGAAAAGGCTTACGTGAATCCTCGTATTTCTCTAATATGTCTGTGAACACAAACGACTACCAATCTAATAAGTCACCTGTGTCGTACCAGGACTTCACGTTGGATTTTTACTTCCGACAATTCTGGACGGACCCACGACTCGCGTTCAAGCCGCGACCAGGCGTCGAGACGCTCAGCGTCGGTTCAGAATTCATCAAGAACATTTGGGTACCCGACACCTTCTTTGTCAACGAGAAGCAGTCGTACTTTCACATCGCTACCACCAGCAACGAGTTCATTCGCATACACCACTCGGGAAGCATCACGCGTAGCATACGGTGAGTACAGCATTAATTAAGTATAAATTTATATCCGTAGCTCTCACGGTTTTATATATATATATATATACACATACATATAACTTTTACGTAGTAATATTTTTTAAGCGTCAAATTCTTTTTTATAATGAATCCAAGTTTAAAAGTCATCTAAGCGAATCCTTTTTTTTATCATGACGACGCTTAATTTAGATGGTAATTAAAAAAGGAGAAAAAATATATGATATGCTACGTTGAATAAGCAATAAAAATTAAAAGATCTTTCTTTCTACATTGAGTCAGTTAAGTGAATTTAATCCTGAACTGTTACTTTCATCGTACGAGAGAAAACGTTTTGGTATTTTCCGCCGACTGTAAATCGAGCTTCTCATTGTCCTCTATCACCATAGAACATTCGTGGCACTTCTGGGACCAATTGTACTCGGCACGACAAATTTGTTCCCTGTAGCGGCCTCTACCCCTTCTTGTCTGACACAGCTCGTATCATTTCTCGTATCTATCTCCCTTTCGAGCACCCAGGAGTGTTCTGGTATTAACGCGCCGGCTATATTCAGGCGATCCATGCATACCTAACTTGCACTCCCTCGCGTAATATCGTTCCATTATATTACATCCTCGACTTCCGGATCGGAAGTACCGAATCGAGCCGCTCGCTGTCGGGAACGGAAGAAGAATATCGATGAAGCAACGAGCGCGCGCTCATTTGCGTGAATAATTCTTCCCTGCTTCTCTCAGAGCATAAGTCATCGATCACTGTCTGCATATACGAATCATGCGAATACGTACATCTGTATCGGTTCGTATAATACGTCTCATCGACAAGACAAGAATAATATTAACGGTACGTCGAATCGATACGGATTGGTTCTTACACGTTAATCCTGACGTGACTCGGGCGTAATGAGATCGACTACGAATTAATTCCTGCACATTGATTCAACGTTACTTGGGTGCAAATGGATTGGCTGCGAAATCCCTGCATTTGTATATCATGAAACATTTTATTGAGAAGCGATTGTTAACGGGTTTTGCTTGAATATGTTTCAGCTTAACGATTACAGCATCGTGTCCTATGAACTTGCAATATTTCCCGATGGACCGGCAATTGTGTCATATCGAGATCGAGAGCTGTAAGTACGCAACACGCGCGTATGTACATATATATATATATACTTATACATATTATATAGATGCATACAAACGAACGAAATATAATTTCACAGAATTCGACATTTTCGCCTATTTCTATTCGACATAGAGTAGAGCAGGGCTTTTTCGTCCATTTCTCGCGATAATGCTTATGTTTCTGAACAGCATATGCTAATTACTTAAAGATTGTGCTTGTACTCTCAAAGAGCAATCATGACTGTATAATGTAATTATAAGCACTGCAAAGAGATATTGTTTGCTATCATAAATTTTCGTATTACTTTAAAATTGAAACTGACGGAATAGCCCCGCTCTACCCTACTAACATACACATACTTTTGCGCATATTATAACAGAAGTCAGAAAGACTTTCCTATGCACTTCAACAATATATTACTTCTCAAAATGACAATCGACTCGCCGTATCTTTTTGACGTCAATCATCGAGTACGTGCACGTAACTTTAAAAGAGAAAAATTGTTGCCAAAAGTTTCTAACAAATACAGAGTCAATCAACATAAATGCAATTTACTAATATGTAAGATGTTATTATGATATTTCTTTCATTAAACTTATTATTATATTATAAAACATAGTAGCGCCATTTGATAGAAATAACAATTGAGATCTTTGAGAAATGACTATTAGTAATATCAATTGTATCTCTGAAAAAATCTGCAACGTCACGTTTACTCTAGCGTTGTGATTAGCCATATACCCGATTGGCCGTATCTGTTCTCGCTGAAGCAGGTTGTAAAACACGAACGATCAATTCCAGCACGTGAACCCGTGCATGTAACTCGAGGATAACGCCGAAAGCGATACGCAGAAAGTATCCTTATCGATAGCCGATTGTCGCTGATTCAATGCGATTCAATTGTACATCGCTTTGAACCCTTTTTTTCAGATAAAGCCATAGAAAGACGCTTCTACTGTGTATATTTGCGTCGAGCATTAAAAAAAAAGGAAACTTTCCCCCTTTATTACACGCTCACACAGAGAATACTGTCAACTTCCACAACCCGTCACTCTCCATTTTTCCTCCCTCCCTTCTTCCTCCCCCAACGGTATCTGCCTCCCCTCTCGCCTTTTTCCCGACATCAGGTTTTACTTCCTTCTTTCTTTTCTATCTTTCCCTCTCTATCTGTCTATCTGTCTGTCTGTCTGTCCGTCACTCGCCACTTCACACGCTCACTCACACGATCAGTCAGCCACACAAGTGAGAATCACTCCCATTCACCTCGTTCACTCACTCGCTCACTCACCCGCTCTCGCTCACACACTGGTTGGGTTTCTTTTTTTTATTCCATACACAGTGATTGTATGTATGTAACAACATGGACTTGCAGAATCGGACATTTATTGCAGCCTCTTCCTTTTCACTTTTCTCTCGCGCAAAACACGCGCGAAAGTCGATGAACGAAAAAAAAGTGAATGTACAATTTATGTAATCCAATAAATTCTTCCTTCTTCTTCTCTAAATCTACGAAATAAAAAGAGAGAGAATGATTATCTTTAAGATTAATAATGCACTCACAAATAGTCGGAACCAAAAAGTATATGTAATCTCATTTTCCTTTGTTTCACGCAGTTCGATTTAACAATAAAAGCCCGATTCTGTTACTGAGCACAGTGTGCGGTCAATAAGCACCTTAAGAAGGAGCTTCGATGGAGCCGCGCCGTTACAACGGCCTCTGTATCGATGCGCGCACTGTATACGCAACTGAGTCGTCGACGAGACACGTCTCGATCAATCGAGTCGCTCCGTTAGACTATAAGCATAGAAATCGTAGGTTGACCAGGAGCTATGATGCGCCGTGGGAGCATCCCAATGCGCGAAGACACATACGAGAAGATTATCACGTATATGTGTGTGAGTATGAGTGCGAGTGTGAATGCGAGTTTGTGCGCGCGTGTATGTATACGTCGAAGTGTGTGGTAGCGCTAACGTTTCACTGTCACGAGCTCGTGTTGATTGTCGTCACTACTGCAAATTGCACGGGGTGTTAATGTACAAAAAGGAAAGAGAATTTCAAACGTCCCTTTCAGAATTGTTTCGCCATTTATTCATACGCGTTTACATCGTGAAATAACTACCGTTATTCATTAATACTGTCATTAATAATTCGTGCACACGAGAACACGCGTACCGCGCAAATTACCTAAATAAGTCAACACAATACGGTCAGATTGAAATCAGCATTGTAGTGATAATTATATAATGAATAATTAGAAATATGCACAAACAACCACATATGAAAATAATCGCATTCATAACGTATTTTTGCAGAAATGCAAATGCAAGATTTGTAAGGGCAAAATTTTGAGATGCTGAAAGTGGTTAACGTTAATAATTGCATGCTTCTCATTTGAAATCTTCTGTAACTGTGCGCTTCGGTCATGCTAGGCATACGGAAACGTTCAACCACACTGATTTATACAGGATGATGGAAAAAGTTTGACTTCAACTCGCCCCCGCTGAAAGATCTATATTAAAACTCAGTCGGTCGTGGAATAGGGTCGAAGGGTCACTGGGAAGTCCGGCATACGAGATACCGCAGGGAGTCGACCAAGTTAGTCGATTAGTTTCGTTGAGTAGAAAGCTCGGATTTTCGCGGACGCCCTTTCGTCCTTAATTGATCGGACTGTTCAAATACAAGTTATTACGATCGTTATAAGTTGTCGTGATACATTCCCATCACGAATTACAGGAGAATGCTCGCACAAATCGTTAAACTTTCGAGATGATTCGTAAGATTTACAAGCTTTCATTAACTTTTACTTAAGTTCAACTGAATCTTTGTCGTTTTCTAATTGAAGTTTTCCACGAAGAAGTAAACAGGCAACTAAACCACAACTAAAGTTAATCAATGTCAATAGAATTGAAGATAAATATCGCTTTGTGCCGTAAACAATTAAGATTAATAATTTGATTTAATATTTCTGAGAGTTTTTAAGAGTAATTCACAGATACACATTCACTAATCTTAACACGTTATTCTTTGCTTAGAAACTATCAAGGAATGTAAGCTAATAATAATACGGTCGCAGTTCTCATGTGGTTCAACTTTATGATTGGCCCAAATTCTTGATTTCTATTTATAATCGTAAATTCGATTTGATAGACGTTTCTAAGTGCGAATTTTGCTTGAAACGTATCGCGGCCGATGAGATCTATAAAAAGAAAAGGCAGAAAGGTGCCGAATTTGTAGAACTCTGGAGAGTTTCTTGATTAGTTTCAGATAGAGAAGTGTCGGGTCACGAACATCGTTTCGCTCTTAACTTAGCCATTAAACGAGATATTATTACCTCTCATGGTATCGATTTTGTATCTCCACGATGTTGAACAAAGGTACTAGTTTGCGAGTATTTTTGCAATCGTCAATTTCTCACGGTCTTTCAACGTACGAGCGAAGTAGAATTACTCTCATCTTATCTTACTCTCATGTTTCACTAAATCCATTTCGTAAAATATACAGAATCGTGCGGTACCATAACCAAGGATGAGAGCAGACGTGCAATTTGCAGTAATCACAGATCATAGCAAACCGCATATCGTTACCGCATATGCTCGTCGACACGAAACGACTGCGACTTTCACGGTAAAAAGCAATGAAGATTCGAATTCTGCATTTCTCGTGAGATAGCTTCAACTATTAAAAAAAAAAGCGATATGCATCAAATCCAACTACCAATACGTTTACAGGACACGCTTTGTCACATCCTACGCAAAGACCGTATGCGAACGTATTTACGAGCATCCTCCGAAGGGTCTCCACTCTACCAAGCTACCCGCTGACCGTGAGTCGTCACGTCGGTCTTAGCTGAGCGCGTGATTTCTCGAAGGTCGCTCGGTCATTCGACAAATGAATACGAATAATGACCGTGTGCACGTACCTGCCATCGAATATCTAAATACACACGACGTGTCCTCTTTCTACACTCTGTCGCCTGTCAAAGAAAAATTTCTCGTGGATTACATACGTGCACACAGCAATAACAATCATTAAAAAACTATAATAATCATTTATCAAGGAGCTGCGTGAATTGAGCCAAGTTCTTTTATTTTATGGTTCGACAATAACAGAAACATTGAGTAAAACGTATGTAGTCCACGTACGACAAACACTCTATATAGAGAATGGAATCCGTTCCGTCTACGAGATCGACGGCGATTTCCTGCGGAAGGGACCTATGTTCAGGGAGAGAGATCACGCTGAACTAGATATACCACCGAAGCACACGCACGATTGTAAATATATACAAACGAGAGCTCTCGACGCGCAGTCGCCATAAATCGATCCCGAGATCAAAAACGCGACGAAAGTGCGCTGTTCAAACACTATCACTACTTTGCCACTCTCACCACTACCACTGACCACCACCGCCATCACTTAACTTATCACTATACTACCCTCCTCCCCCGAACCTGAAGGGCCTCCGACATATAGCACTGAGCCTCGTGTCCGGGGACGTAGTAAGGGCCGACGACGGCCAGCCCCGAAGGAGGCTAAATCCAGAAACGACGTGTCGACAATGGTCCGACCGAATTAAAACGCATTGTGCATCTAGCCCAGCGCATGTAAGAAAGAAAATACTGCAACATTACCCATGGCGTACCAGGCTGTGGTCACGTTATCGGTATGCCTATGAATTTGCTTGTAACCTGATTTTGATCTGCAATTTGTTCCGGTATACGTCCCTACTCCCCGACCCGCCCTCCGAGCAACTTTTGTACGTATAGTAGAGCAATAGATATTATCTAACATACATATATATAGTGCGGCAACGGCATGTGTCGGCATGATTATTTAATTTGGTCTATCTCAGAACAGGATAAAAAAATAAGTAAGTGATATATTTAAAGGTATATAGTTCGTGTTACTTTTCTTTTTCTTTTTCGTAATGACGATAATTATCTGATAAAAAAATTTTTTAAGAAATTTAACTTCTACATAAAAATATCATTCAAAGATTAAAAAAAGTTTTCGTCGGTAATGATTGCTTGACAGATAAATCGCACTTTTTCAGGAATTTCTACACTCTAGATTTATTTAGATTATTACATTACGTAAAAGTAAAAGAATCATCACAGGAACACAATTCCTTCTTGTTGTATATACACACTAAACGAGCCTGATTTATTGAATCCTAATTCAGACCTCGATAATATCATTCAGGAATAACGTTTGAATTTTAATGGGACCGTAAAGCCGGTATGGAAATGCGCATTTCTCGCAAAACACAGAACATGGAGAATAGAGCATGTAGCATGGAGCATGCAGCACAGCAGGTGAAATGCGCAGCGTAAAGCATGTATCACACATACATACATATATATATATATTTATGTAAATTTAAATATGTAAACCTAATCCTCTCGAGCTTGTATGCGTCACTGTAGCATGTCGAGCACAAAACTCTATTTTTTATTTCTGCTTTTTTTCTCCATATCTACTTATACACTCTCCACTTTTCGTCTTAAACCCTTAAACTTGCTGCCACTACCATAGTCCTCGGTATTTTGCTAATGTTGCCGCAGTCCTTCTCCCTGCAGTATTCAACAGCCACTATCACGACCCTCCTCTCGGTCTCTTCTGACCTTTTTTTTTTACCCCTCGTGATGCTTAATGTTGCCCCCAATCCAGGACCTCTTTACTAAAACTTTGTAAAATCAATTTTTATCTATGCTGCACTTAACTATGCGACGATCATCGGCAAAAATAATGAATGAATGAACGAACAAATGCACGTTATATTTTCGTAACTTTTTTTAGACGTGGTCATTATTGTTCGCGAATGCAATTTCTTGATAATGTAGTTTGTTTTTAAATTGTTTGCAAGTATAATGAATACTTGTAATAAGAAATGCAATTAAACGTGAAAAAAAGAAATTAAATATAAAATATATCTAAGACAATGTGTGTAAAACATGTCAGCTTCACTATTTTCTTATTAATGTAACAAGTATATAAATTTTTATGTTGAAAGCTGCGAATAAACAAAACTTGGTATTTCTAGAGTTTCGAATCGTTAGTATTGAACACGCCTGTTGCAAATCGTAATGTCATTACCGAAATCGTGATTTTGCGCGATGCCGCATGCAACTGTGTCCGCTGTGCAGAATCGCGGGGTACCGAACACGATAAAACGAGATGGTATTCAAAATCGGATTCCAAAAACAAAAGCAATTAATCTGGCACATTCGGAGGCGTACCGCTTAATCCATGTTTGGCCGATGCTCGCGCAATGTAGCCACCACCGCGACGGAATGCCACTTTGGTGCCTGGAATGCGGTGTAACGATCGTAATCACCTAAGATTCAGTTACGGAGGAATGTTTCTCGGTGCGGTATGTACGCGCTGGAGGCCTCGCGGAGGAATTAGAGAGAACAAATAAGCGCGAATTATGATCGATAATCACCAAAACTCGATCGCAGGATACTTTGGATTAGTAGAAATAAACGATAGATGAGTCGCTAAGATCGGCACGCTGCATTTATCTCACAGAGAATCTTTATCTCACAATGCAAAGAAGAATATCATTGATTGATATCAATCTCCGCGTGGCCTTGGACGTAATAATAGCAAATTCGGTTTTGAAAACATCATAGACGCTTCAGAAGGCATTATTTTATAATTAGAAAATCAATCAATAAAGATGAATCTCAATGTAAAAAATTTCAAACACTTTATATAAATAAAGTATCAAAAGCAAAACTCATAGAAGATAAAACTGTCTCTATATATACCTACACCATAAATCTAAACTTTATATAAGAAGAGATTCAGAATTCACAACAGCTCTTCTCTTTATGATATTAGTTTTATGGAAAAATTTTAGAGTATTCTTTTCAGACTTTTAAAATCACGGATGACTATGTTAAGATATTATTACAATGCCTATCTCGATGACGTTTATGATATGGCGGCACGAAGGGCATCCTAAATCGATTCCACGTGAAAAGAAATTTACGCGATGGAATTGAATCATGATGCAACAACGGGAACCGCTTTAGGTTGCTCGCGCAATAAGTTTGCTTCTAATTATTGTACTCCCCGAGGAACCCGCCCTTCCGTTCCAAACTGAACACTACCTCAGTGTTTAATTATTGTATGTTAGAGCGAAGATATTTGTGTTCTTGTTCTCCCGGCAGTTGGATACACAATGCGCGATATTCGGTACAAATGGAACTCCGGCCTACAGTCGGTCGGCATCTCGAACGAGGTGGAACTACCGCAGTTTCGCGTGCTCGGTCACAGGCAACGACAGACAACCATACACCTATCTACAGGTAGATATTCCCCTCTTATTCGTTCTTCCTTCTAAACTTGGTCCAGAAATGCGCGTGGTTAACATATGTATGTATATATATTGTGTAGGAATGTCGATTATATAATTATCATGATGAATCATAATGAACAACGCCATCAGAGCGAGATGGCAAAATTTTTTCGTTCTAAAAATATGTGAGAATATGCACTATATTCACACGGATGATTACATGTCCAACTCTGATCAAGGCATATGTATATATACAAATGTATATATAAAATGCAACGAGAACTGGACAAGTCATGTGTGAGCATATATACATATATAATATAAATCCTGTTTTTACCCGCATCGATATGCACCGATCACTGTGTTGTCTTTTCGCGAATACATTTAATCGTATAAGAACGAGCTTGCTCAGCGGGACAGCGTAGTCCTACAGTCATTCATTTCGACCGATCGACTGATCGACTCATTGGTTTTTATTTATATTACGAAAGACGCAGACGATACTTGAGTCATGCGTACCCATAGTTCCTAAAAAAAATTTGGTTTCCCCCCCTCTTCATTATAGATGTGTGTATGTGTGTGTATGTGTGGACGTTGTACTATTTTTATTTTTACTACCATTGTATATCAATACTGACCTACAGAAGATGAAACATTTTGCTCTACTAGAGCTTTAAATTTAGATTTCCTTTCAATGCGTGAATAATGGATTTTCCATAGCTTTATAACATACGTAGTGTTGAGCATATAAATTGCTTCAGGAATAGTATTACGTCCACCTTTGACCTAATATCCACCATCCACAACCATCACCATCAAAACAATAATCGACACAACGGACTCGTAAATACGAATAATACGCGCCTTCCACTTCTCGATCGTAACCAACAATCGAGAAGATCGTCCATTACGATCTCTCATTACACGCCAAATATTCCGCCCACATACTCCTTTAAAGTCAGTTTAATTTGGGCTCTCGATAGCTCTCTTCGCAAGGGTATCCCTCATAGAGAAAGACAGAGAGTAAGATAAACTGAGAGAGACAGATAGATAGAAAGAAAGAAAAGAACGAAAATTGTGAACAGAGAGAAAGGGGAAAAAGTGAAAGAGAGCGGACTCGTAAGGTTTGATGGGGGTGCGAGGTAAGTGGAGGCCCCCTCGGAGCTGAAATGCGTTTGAGGGCTTCCGCGAAGGTACGTACCAACCGCGGGGGGTCTCTCTATTTTTTCAGTCGGATACACGATGAGGGACATCCGGTACAAGTGGAACGAGGGCCCGAACAGCGTCGGGGTCAGCAACGAGGTCTCCCTGCCTCAGTTCAAGGTCCTCGGTCATCGTCAACGTGCCATGGAGATTAGTCTTACCACCGGTAACGTATAAACACAACCCCACCCCCCACCACCAACAAATAATTGTTCAACCCTCGCTTTTAACGGCATGGGTAAGGTGGAGAGACACGTGAGCGCTATCCGATGTCCGCAGGCGCAATTGTCGCTCGTAAGAAAAACCGTCGTAATCCTGTGTACCTTACTTTACGTAAAGCCGTCGATCGATCGATCGATCTCTCTCTTTCTCGCGATCTCGCGCGTCATACAGTCCCGTCGAATAGCGGAGCTGGCTGGCGTTATACGGATCGTCGGTTTAAACCTTTTTCGTGTTCGGCAGCGGTAAGTTTCCTCGAAAAATCATCGCTCTATTTCTCTACTTGATTTGACTGAAACTTTGGGCGAGCGAAGTCTTCATTCTGCCATCATGGTGCTCCAACGTCAATCTCTGAGTCAGTTTCTCATAACACGAGCAAGTTTAAGATTGTATGATCAACGATGTACTAATATATACTCCAGCTGAGGACGATTTTAGCATTTGCGATTTTTCTCAAACATTAAGCCTTTCATTCTTCGCTACTATTCTCTAATTACATCGCAGGCAATGACTAAATAATGTATGATATCATCCTAATAACAAAACCAATATCTTTCTCGATCCTAGATATATCTTTTCGCGATAATGGCGCACAAAAAATAAATTGTCGCCAATTTGTTAAAACGGAAGAAAGCCATTATGGGGTGCAAATTGCAACAAGGACAACTCGATTTTCCATTCTAATCGATTCCTCATTTTTCTTCTTATGTAACTACATCTCAAATCGATCGATCGCCGATCGATCTTTCGATCGGCGCACAATACACGCCGCCAATATACCTCACTGTAACGTGCATGCATGCATATCTACACTGACAGACGTACATAACACGAGCACGAAGAGTCGCGCAACAACGATGCGAATTTCACTTAACATCCAGCCAGCTCTGGTACGCTGTATTTCCGGTCGGTGCAAAGAATAGAGAGAACTGTTCGTGAACAATGAAACCGCTTTTCCTGGTAAAATCCAATGACGGAACGGGAAATCGAGCAAGAAGAACGGAGATCGAAGGTAGAAGAGCACAACGAACGAATAAGAAGCGGGAGAGACAGAAAAAAGAGAGAGGGAGAAAAAGAGAAAGAGAGAGATATATATACAAGGAAAGAGAAAGCGAGAAAGAGAGAGATAAACGAACAGTGAGGAGGAAGGACAGTGAGCACGGGAGATAAAGAGACATTAAATAGCGCCTCTCCGTCTCCCTGTCCTGACCTTCGATCTTTTAATCGTAGGGAATTACTCGCGGCTGGCCTGCGAGATCCAGTTCGTACGGTCGATGGGCTACTACCTGATCCAGATCTACATACCCTCAGGGCTGATTGTCATAATATCGTGGGTGAGCTTTTGGCTAAACCGAAACGCGACCCCCGCTCGGGTGGCCCTCGGAGTAACCACTGTGCTCACTATGACGACCCTAATGTCCTCGACGAACGCGGCGCTACCAAAGATCTCCTACGTCAAGTCCATCGACGTCTATCTGGGCACCTGCTTCGTCATGGTCTTTGCCTCGTTGCTCGGTGAGTGCGATCGTGTACTCTTCCGTGCCTTTACGTCGCTGCCATTAAGCTTTCCATCCTGCGTCCTCTCATATACTCCGTATAGCTCGGAGCCGTGCCGTTCCAGTAGCGAGCTCGTAGAGTATCGTAGACGGATACTTGTGCAGGGCTCACGTGACAAATGCAAGGGACCCATTTTCCTCGAAATCGTTACTTGTCGTCGATGACGTAGATGTTTGTCGGTCCGAACCTTCGTTCCGCGATGGAACGGTGTCTCGGAAATTGTTTTCATGAAGCAATCGCGAAACACACAGAGGCAGGTCAATGCGAATAAGAGAATCCCGCGGCTTTGTTCGATTCGTTACACGGCTTGACACACACATTGTTGCGTTTTCACAACTGCGATTGCGAGTACCTCATTACATACGACATCAAGGTACTTCGCCATCGCGGTGCATCGGGGTTTCCAGGGAAATGGCTTTCTTCCATCTGCACGTGAGCTCTACACAAGTACCGGGAGCGCAAGCATGAGTGAGATTCTCGACGGATGGAAGTGGGCCCCGTGAACCGGGCTTCCCGCCCGGATCTTACAGTGGCAGACGTGTCATGGCATTGTATGGTTACGTGTTTTCATTCCCGTGGATTCTTATTCTTCGCAGAGTACGCCACGGTGGGCTACATGGCGAAGAGGATTCAGATGCGGAAGAATCGGTTCCAAAAAATAGCCGAGAGCATGAAGGCGGCGAGCGAAAATCCAGGACCGCCGCGCGTGCCCGGCGATCATGGCGATCATGCGCCTAAGCAAACTGTGAGTAGCGACGGCCAACATTGTCGTCGTTCCCGAATTTTTTTCTTCCATGCAGAATGTCGTTTTGTCACTGTGTATGACCAGGAGATCCAGACGTACTAGTGCTCCCCTGGACGATTTTACACGCTTTCTTTCAGCGAGTAGACGATCGGCTCTGTCAAGATATCCAGATGTCCCGATCATGGCACGATTACAGATTTATGCATAATCGTAGCACTTATTTCTCACATAACTGTTTAGCTCCCGAGAGCTGTGTAATGATATAAACATACACATACAACAATTATCATCTGTTTCGCCTTCATCAACGATGAAGGATATCTTAAATAAAAATTAATCTTAAATATTAAATGATGAAATATTAAACAAAGATTATAATATTGAATCATGTAGTAACCGCCATTAAAAACTAAATTTAATAAATGACGGTAAACGAATCTTTAATGGACAGCAATAAACAAATATTCGGGCTCATCAAGCTCTTTTTCCTCATCACAAGGGCAGGCTCAACAGGACGAAGCCGAGCATTATTCTTGATCCGACTCAGCACGTACCATCGCGCAATATAAATATATGCACACTCTATCCCTTCCTTCTTTAAAAAAAAAAAAAAAAACCCGGCAGGCTCAACACACGAAAGGTCAAAAGCTAAAAGGTTCTGCAAAATGAATTTCCCATTCGGCCGCGCAACGCGCCGGACAACGTGCTTCATGCCAACACGGACACGACGCACTATAAATTTTCTTTTAATCTTGGGTATTGTAGACCCCTCTTCCCCTTCCTCTCTTCTGAAAACAGAAAATATTAAAAGACCGGAAAAGAAAGAGAACAATGTAGAATAACGGAAAGAAGTGAGTAAACGAGCGACAGAGATGAACGGAACGGACGGTCATAAAATGTCGGGTAAGAGGATGAGACGTTTTAATTAATTATTATTACAAAGTTAATTATTCATGTTATCCAGCGATAAATGCCTATAATGACGCGCGCGTCTTTTTTACATGAGTCTTTCAATTACGTACTTGATAATTACGTTCCGTTTCTTTCGAGACTTTTATACTTAAGAGTTACTTTTTTCGAAATACTAAAATTGAATCTAATATCTTTGGTGATTATGTTAACGTTATTCTTTCAAATGAATATTAATGGTAAAATTTAATCAATAATGAAAATAACGTAACGATTAAAAATATTTGACAATCTTACGACTTTTTGCAACATTTTACATCAAATAAATATAAATCTTCTATAATGACGGAATGACCAATGATTGTGGACCAGCAACTAATAATAATAATAACAACAACAATAATAATAATTCTCCCGCATCTCATCCCGACAATACCTATATCAACTAGCATCACATACTACACCAGCTTTTAATTAAATTTTCACCAACCCGTTTTGCTTGAGCACGAGCAATCGCACCGCGCGTTTCTACGAACCGCGGTACTTTTACGAGAGACTTTTCCTATTTCGCACTTAAACGTTTGTCGAATAAACTAACAGACGCGAGTCGCAACAGCGACATAAAAGTAGGTGAGTCTCTCGAATACCAATCGTTCCGATGACTACGTAAAATCGGACGTCACCGCGTTGAACAAATAAAATATACACTGCCCAGTCCTCGGTGTCGCATGCCAATCTGACAAACGGGGTAAACCTCGGGTGAGGGACACCCCACGGCAAACTGCCGTGTCTCTTGTAAGTGGTCCCATGTTGTCCAGGAGGTGCGGTTCAAGGTGCACGACCCAAAGGCACACAGCAAAGGTGGGACGCTCGAGAACACCATAAATGGTCGCGCCGATGAGGAATCGGCGGGCGCGCCGCAACATATTATTCATCCTAGCAAGGACATCACCAAGCTCTACGGTATGAGTAGACCATGTACGCACATTTATAACACTATTTTACCCCCCGCCTGGCAAGCTATCAAACAATATTCGGTTCTTAGCTTGGCAGGCTGTCTATTTCAACGAGCTTCTGAACGGGGCATAATAAACGTTACTGTACGGTTTAACCGTCAGCGAGCTCGGAAGGCCACTGGCGTGGTGTCATCGCCGTGAGTAAAGGGCCTGACAAGGCTGTCAATTGTGCAATATGGATATCGAGTACTTTGAACTTCGTCAAGACTATGCAATATTCATGGCCGATGATACCACGCGCCTGCGCCCAGCCGTTGTATCATATATACATATATTTCTCTACGCTTCAAACACCGTCCGAAAACGCTTGTCACTGATCATCTCATAAAAAGCTTTTTGCATTTTAAGAAACATCTGTACAATTTATTTTCAAGCATTACGATGCACTTATTAGACGCTTTTTCTACCCCTTGGGGTAAACGGCACCGCGCGAACTCGGAAGCTCACTGAAATATGCAATTCTCTTCCCTCCTTAATCTTGCGCGTCGCAACTATTCTAAGTCACTTTAACGTTTCTTAAATAGGCATAACGCCGTCGGACATCGACAAATACTCCCGCATCGTATTCCCAGTATGTTTCGTTTGCTTCAATCTGATGTACTGGATCATTTACCTCCACATCAGCGACGTGGTCGCGGATGACCTCGTGTTGCTCGAGGAGGCCAAGTAAACGACGACGTCGCAGTGCTCCGAATCGAGAAGGAAGAAGGGCAAAAGAGTGCACAGAAACGAGCATTCTTATGGAACGAGGACCGTTTCGCAAAGGAGGAAGCGAAAATGGTTCGAGGAAGATAAATCGAGACGCGCTCGGTGACTACTTCGGGACGGGAGTAGTAAAAGCGAGTAGAGAGTAAAAGCGACCGACATCCGAGACAGCCGTACTAGCTCGCAGACCAGAGAGGTGCTTTCAAAATATGCGCTTAGGTCCATCTCGAGAGCGCGGTAACCACTTCTCTACTGGAAGTAGTAGCGAACAAATACGGGCAGCCGCGCGGTTGCCTAGGCGCGGAGTAGGACTACTTCGCGATCACCGGCAGGTAGAAACGGATAAACGACTCATCGCTCCGGCATGGCTTACCAAACGCCCGCTCCCACTACTTGCGCGGCGTCGTGGCTACCGCAATTTCTACCGGGCAACATGCTCTCGTTCGTCAATCAGCGATCGGGCACGCGTAAGCCTCGGCTATCGTCGTTGTCCACGAGGCGTCTTCGTTAAAGACTCAATATGTATACATAAAAAAAAATATATATATAGGTCGCGCGATACATAGAAATATATATATATATATCGCGACGCAAACGGAAACGGCAAGCAGGAGCTCAATCGCGAAGGCGAATCCACGAGCATACATACCATAAAACATTGCCAGTGTGCGTGCGTGCGTGTGTGTGTGTGTGTGTGTGTGTGTGTGTGTGCGTGCGTGTGTGTGTGTGTGTGTGTGTGTGTGTGCGCGTGACTAGGTATTTCTAGTTCTTAAACGGAGAAAATACCTTCGATATAAACACTTGTCAATTTAGCCACCATTACATAGTAACGTTAACTAACGCTAAGAACAACACCGAGACTCGTCGGTTTGAAGCGACGATTCAATCGAGAGCAGCTTGAGGACGGAAAAATATAGGATTATCGACGTTCGTCGAGGTCGAGGATGAATCGTCGCTCTGACGCCGTCAGCAGCGTTCGCGCGCAAAGGAAACGTAGCGGAAATCACATGGTGGCATGTGTGCGCGTGCATGCGAGTGAACGAGAGAGAGAGAGAAAGAGAGAGAGAGAGAGAGGGAACGAATGAACGCGAGCATTGAGTATGAGTGAAAGCGCGCGCGTGAAACGAAGAAACGGCGGGAAAATTCATATTCCGAACGAAGATAAACAATGTACTATCGGAGACTGGTGCGACTTATTATCTAAGTAAGTACAGTAAGTATATGTATATTAACATATATACGCGCGCGCGTACGCGGCCACGTTAGGTACGCGCGTGCATGCATATTAGACACGTGCGTACGCAGAACGCGTACAGACGATCGATGAGCATTCTACGCGAGGTCCCACAAAGACACCAGCAATGGAACGGAAGGGGAATAACACGACGCAGGACGCCCACGACGAAAGCAACTCGGATTTCACAGTGGCGGCTTCACTTCAGCATCCGCATTTATTTGGATTACGGCCAAGTAAGAGCCAAGTCTCTTTTTCATTTCGTAGGACTTTTTTACGATTTTTCACGACGCGACTTTTGTATTTCTGTATGTATGACTCGTGTCGTCGCTGCGGTGAAATCGGCGTGACTATCGTCACTCGTCCCAGGGCGTCCCTGTTACGCGTGTACGTGCGTGTGTACATGGCTCAATCGGGAGTACTCTTAGCTCGTACTACGTAGTCGCGACTGTTTACGTAGGGAAACTCCCGGAACATATGATGATTATATATCGGACGTAAAAATACTCCAATTGAGTCGAGAGAATCGAGAGGGACAACGGACCAAGGCAGAATGCAACTCGGTACTCGCGTTTGGTATCTACTTTCACTTAAAGATTCTCGCTAAAAAATAATTAATATATAAAATATACGTATCACGAATATGGACATGCCTTTCATTATAATTAAAAATCAACGGACGGAAAACAGATGTGATAAAAATTAATTTATACAACCGCGTGCATAATTATTATTTTATTATTCCAAACTCTACTCAAAACTCTCTTTATTCGCGTATATTAAATTACCTTGTCCATGTGTCCAATAGTAAACCAACGCAGCCGCTAAATTTTATTGACTTACGTCGTTACTAATCCCATCCTTTTTAGCATTTATGCAAAACAAGAAAGACAGTGAAATACAATCACTTTTATTTGCGGGAGTTGCTTTTAATTCCGAGCGTACAACGGTCTTCTTGTTTCAACATATTTCGTTGCCCAATGTTTTGTCAATTTAATTAACGTTAATTGCATGGTGTTCTACTTTCTTTTCTTGTACTCGCTGCCCGTACTTTCTGAAATCCTGTTCGCCATTACAGACCATCGATCACAAGAAGTTTTCAAAACCTACACTCGGAACTTTCTTCTTTGCGCCTTTCATGTATAAGCTGCCTAGTAGCCAAGAGTACTTTCTTTTAAATATAGCTAATTCTTCTTTAGTAAAAATTAGATTGGATGCTATCTTTTGCTTTTGTAATATTTTCACGATTTATATATTTCAATAATTAAATTTCAGCTTAAAACTTTAGACCTGACTTAAAATTAATTAAAAAATAAAGTTCCATCATCTATACATTTCAAACATTTAATAAAACTTGCCAATCTTCGCGTTGACAATATAAAAACAATTGAGCGACATTCTTTTTAGTTGGACTTCTGATGTTTATAAGTTAGAAAAAACGCGAAAAACTTCTGAAACATTCTATGTACATATATACATAGCAAGCTCTCTTTTTGCTTCTCTCTTGCCCCTCGGACGTAGCGGCTGACTGCAAGCTGGGCCGTGGAAGCTTGCCATTCAGGATATCGACCAGCTGACACGCCCAACCCACCCTCTGACTCTTTCTCATCCCTCCTACACCACCGCTCTTACTCTTCCTCTCCCCATTCTCGTCCTCCATTCTACTTCGCAATCGCCAAATAGTCCATTTACCAGACGCTGCTATCAGTCGTGCATTTAATAAGGAGATCCTTGCCTTGGTACTTCGCGAGAATTCTTTATGAGAATAGGTAATCCGTAATAGTCCAGGATTCTGCCTTGGGACACTATTCACCTCAGATATTTGAGAGAAACGAAGGAGGGATGATCACATTCGAGCGTCACGTTTTACCAATGTGAAAATGCTGAATCGTGCGACTTTTATTAGATAACATCGGTCACCTAATTGACTCGTCATCGAAAAGTGAATTACGAATTCTCATGGACAATTATATACGCGACAATTACATAAATTTTAACATTTATTAAGACACACCGTATTTAAATTCATTCCGTTGGCAATCTTCTTTCACTGAATAATAAAAATATCTAAATTTTATACAAAAATCGAAAGGGAAAAATATAAAAGTATCGTCTCTACTTCTTCAAGCCACTAACTCGTCGAAGCCGTATAAAATTGAAAGCACTGATTTATATCAATAATTTTTTTAATACACTCAATTAAATAAAATATTCTCTAAATAATATAAAAAAATGTCAACAGAATGGTTTGTAAGATATTCAGAAAATATCTAACATTTTAATAAATTTCTTAGAAACGTTAATAACGCTTACAAGGGAAGTTTCACAACTATCCGGAACCGATTTGATTTTCCATGAAATATGTTGTTAAACACGAAAATCTAAGAGACACGTATTTTTTATACGTGCGCTAACTCATGTTAAGGGATGAAACACCCCTTTAAAAAAAAAGGTATTTCTATTTCGAACCGAATACCGTCGGAAATATAAAAGATGGAAAAAATTTTTTAAACAAAAGTTGTACGGTTTCAAGAATACGTCAATGTTGTGAAGAGAAAGAAAAATTTTTTTTAATTTTTTTGTTAACATACGAATAATTCTAAGACCGTGAATACGGAGTGACTTTCAAAATTCTCAAGTCTATCTATGTCAATTTTATATTCCCATAGAGTGGATCGTACTTTAGGATTACAATTTGAGACCGGTATAATTTCGATCGCGTTTCCGTTGTCGCAAATAAACAATAGTGGTGATTTTCCAGTGTTCATGACATCGAAATTTCAAGCCAGCGAAATTTCAAGCCAGCGAAGTTATACCGGTTCGATTAATCGCTGCACGTACTTTTACTCTTTCGCAATGACGATTGCACGCGCTCTAGCTTTCTCGATTTTTTCAGACACTGGCGCAATTACACAGCACCCGATAGACTTTACATCTCGCGTTTTCGCGAGATTTAGCCGCAATAATTCACGGACACACTCAACCGTGACGTAACGTTCGCGCGTTATTTCGGCGACTTATTTCGCTTTCGCATTTTCCGCGCCGAACACTTAAGCAACTGGTTCTCAATCGCGGTCACGCGATAATGCAAATAATGGCGACGCGAGTTTATCGTGCGCGAGAAGGCGCAAATCGCGTGCCCAGCCCTCGTTCGTTTCTTTCTTCGACTGCGTTCGTACATAATATATAAGTATCGATACATTTCTCCACGTCCGCCCCAACCGGAAGCGTTGTGTGCAATTTATATAACTGTACATCCGTTATCTACTTGGAGTCTCTATAATAACGGGAGAGGGAGGGAAGAGAGAGGATCTAACTCGTTTTATCGTTGTGATATATTCTATGGTAGCTATATGCATTTATTCGCGCGTATATGATGACATATACGCGTGCCTATTGTTTATGCTGAATCTTTAAGCTGACAATGAGTGGACAAACGGCGGGAATTGGCGTGCCCACGGTCAAAGAAAAACTCTTCCTTAGATAGACATACAGTTAGGTGTAAAGTAAAGCAAATAATTAAATAACGTAATAATTAATTAACTCTACGGATAATGAAATAATTAACGTAATAAAACGCGTTGCACACATCTCGTGATACAACATGTAAGCTTCGAAATCGCGAATGGTATTCCTTTCGAATGCGCGATGTTAAACCAATTCATCAATCATTAGCGTAATGATGATCGATGATGAACGATGTTGTTACAATTCAGAATGATCGATTACGCATTAATTTCTCGAAAATATATAACTAGAGTCCGACCGAAACTTTTGCCGAAACTGAATCGAAACTCGGCTTCATATCAATTTCAACCGAAACCGAAACCAAAATTAAAAAATAAGAAATTATCCTATAAAGGCCATATGTATAGACATGCCCATATATTATATACTTTTTCTTCATAAATATAATAATTTATGAAAACAATATCTAATTAAATTTCGGCCGAAATCGAAAACCGAAATTTCGATCATGTCAATTTTAGCCAAAGAATATAAGTACTTCTTCATAAACATCATAATTTAATTATTCAAACAATGATTACACATATTAAAATTAATATTTATAAAGAAGAGCTATATGGTTTCAGTCGAAACTGACACGTTGTTTTCAGTTTCGGTAAAAGTTTCGGTCGGACTCTTATATATATAACGCGCATCCACATATTGCAATCGTTTAGGTGCATTCTTTATTCATTTAACTCGTTTATTCACGCTATCGAGAATATTTTGTTATAATTGTATTTGTATAAGACATTCGTAACGCTCAAATGAATTTCTAACGTATACTTGATTTAAATAAGTATTCGAAGTTAGGGAACTTTGTTGATACAATGTTGAAGATTTAGTAGCAGAAAACTCGTAACCAAGCGCATTCATCTACGATAATTCAATCGCTCAACGCGATTCCTTGTGCCGAATATTTAAAAAAAAGCACGTGCATTGTAAGCGCAAATCGACATACGCACGTTATACTGGACAC